ATTGGGCAATGCTGCTTTTCCACGGGTACCGTGCCTCCTGTCCTTCCTCTCGGTAGATGTGTTGTGAGACTATGGAAAATATGAGAAATCTGTTAATGTAGACTTCCTTCTGTCAGTAATAGTAAGCACTGAAGCTTGGAATTTTTAACAAGACTGAGTCTAATAACACCTTTACTGCTTGCACTGCCCAGGCCTCCAGGCTGTCCAGCCCAGCACAGTGGAAATGCCCCTAGCGAGTCTCCTTCTGTCCACGAGTCCCCGCACCCTCCCTTGCCTGCAGCTGAGCCAGCATCTCGGTTATCCAGTGATGAGGGAGAATGTGATGAAAAAGAAGAGCCTGTTGAAAAACTGGATTGTCATTATTCAGGTCATCATCCTCAACCAGCCGCTGTACGTTTTAAGTAAAAGTTAACTTTGGTCTCATGTGGGCTCTGAACTTGTAAAACAATTACTTGGGGGTTTTAAGGGTGGTTTTCTATAGTGTATGTGACACTGACACCCCCCACACCCTCCCCGATTTTAAGAAAATTATTCTGTTGCCTGGTAGGCAGTGAAGGTTTAACTGTAGTTGCAAAGTAAACGTGCTAAAGAAATACATTTGCAGCTCACTTCTCCAATCCAAAAGAAATCAAAATGCCAAAATACTTAAGATTAAATTGGTAACTGCTCTGAAGGGCTGTGGTTTTGGAATAAGGACATGTAAACAGTGCCTTTTTAGTGCTTTTTGGTGAGATTTTGTTATTGGACTTTCCCATGCACACACAAGCACATTTTTTACTCAAGGTGCCAATCATCACAGTAAAGGTAGCAGTAATGTGTTGGTTTAATATTTAGATTTTGACAAAAGCTAGTTAGTCTTAACTAAAAGCACAAGCTTTATTGCCTTGCCTGTATATCAAATTATCTCCTTTTTTAAAACGGACTACAAGCAGATAGCTGATAGCTCCTCAGAAGTAGATGTTACATATATATGTTATGTTTTTATACACACATACAAACACACACTACTGCCCATCCCTGTTTAATCACAAGGATTCAAATTTTGATCGCTGCTTTTGGCCCTAAGTATGGGAGTATCAGATGGAAGAAAATGATCCCAATATACCAAGGCCCAAAACTTAAAATAGTTGTTATACCATAGAAATAAAAATCATAATTTATATTATTTTATCCTTGATTTAAACATCTAAAAGCATATTCATTTAGAAATATTCATTTATAAACAATTGCATTGTTATTCAGAGAGTTGTTACCAAAAGTAGAAGACACCAATAAAAATCTGTCTTTTCAGTTTTGCACATTTGGTAGTCGGCAAATTGGAAGAGGTTATTACGTGTTTGACAAGCGGTGGAACCATATTCGATGTGCACTTGACTTCATGTTGGAGAAGCATCTTAATTCACAGATGTGGAAGTGAGTAGAAGTGAAAGAGTTCTTGTTCTTCTTGGTATTTGTAGAAATACACAAAGCCAGTGACTTCTAGTTAAAGAACAGCAATCTTGTGTTCATATTAATTGGATCAAAGGTTGACAGTCTATGCTTTACATTTTTTGCAACAATTAACTATTAATTTAATAAAATATTGTAGTGGCATTAATCAGCCTCAAGGTGCAATCACTTTACTGTAATCATTATTAGGCTGGGTATTATTCCGGAGAATGGTGGCTATGTAGGTTTTTGTTTTTCTGTTCACCTGCAGGAAAATTCCTCCAGCATCTAGTAACACAGCATCAGTTCGTGCCCCACATCGGACAAACTCGATGCCTGCTTCACAGTATGGTGTCAGTGCAGCAGGTTTCCTCTTACCCACCACGGTTATGTCATCGCCAGCATTGGTATCCCCCTCCTGTGTCTCTCTGAATAACAAATCGGTACCATCACATGGAACGACACTAAATGCCAATCCTGCTACCTTGGGTGCAGTGGATCCTGTCTGCAGTATGCAATCAAGACAAGTGTCTTCATCCCCTTCAACACCTACAGTGCTTTCCTCTGTACCTTCACCTATGCCCAGCAAACCTCAGAAAATGAAATCCAGCAAATCTTTTAAACCTAAGGAATCTTCTGCTGGCAGTGGCACCTGTAACAGTACCGGCAGCGTCAGTAGCAGCAGCGGCTCAGGAAAGAAGCGTAAAAACAGTTCCGCACTGCTAGCACCTTCTCATTCCACAGAGTCCTTTAGAAAAAACTGTGTGGTTAACTCTGGAAACTCTGGGACCTCCTATCATCCATCGGTGACAGCTTCGTCCCACAGCGTTGGCCTCAACTGTATGACTAGCAAAGCTAACTCTGTTAGCCTCAAACATGACCAATCAGGGAGGGGTCCTCCGACTGGAAGCCCTGCAGAATCGATAAAAAGAATGAGTGTGATGATGAACAGCAGCGACTCCACGCTCTCCTTAGGGCCGTTTGTTCATCAGTCCAGCGAGCTGACTGTAAATTCACACAGCAGTTTTCCACATTCGCATACTTCCCTTGACAAATTAATAGGAAAGAAAAGAAAGTGCTCACCTGGTTCAAGCAGCATAAACAGCAGCAGCAGCAGCAGCAAATCAAATAAAGTTGCCAAATTGACGTCGGTGAACAATGTTCATGCAAAACACGCTGGTGCAATCCCAGGGACGCAAGGACTGATGAACAATTCTCTTTTTCATCAGGTATGAAATTTTGGCTCGAACAATATGAACATGCCTCTCACATGCTTATATTAGATGCGTTCTTTTAATTATTAGCCAATTCCAGATCCTATTCAAGCAAAACACAATTCTCCTGTTTGTCCATTACTCACTTTGAGTGCTTTTATAGTACATTTACACAAGATTTTTATAAACACTCTCATAGAAAGTCTAGCCTCTTTTTTAAAGTAACCTCTAATATGATGTTCCAAGTTCCTTAGATCTTGCCTGCAAATTGCTCTCAGATGAAATTCAGTCCTCACATTTAAAAAAGAAAAATTTTTTTCAAAAAGTAAGTCTTGCCAGCCAGCCACGGAACTGAGCTGCATGTCTCAGCCTGACTTCTTGTTTCTAGGTCAGTATTAAACAATCTACAAAGTGGAACACAGTGATGCTGATAACGAGAACTGTGATACTGTGATAAAATAAGCCCATTATCCCAAGGTGTCATTGACTAACTTCTTAGTAATAACGAGACTAAATGTTATAAATAAGATAGAAACCTTTTTAGTCGGCAGAGCAAACGGATTTACTCTAAAGGAAGCAGATCGCATGAAGATGTAAGATCCCGTTTTAAAAAATAGTTTGGCGTTTTGTTTTGTTTTTAAACAAATTGCACTGGGAAAGTAGTGTATTGGGAGGAAGACTTCTTGATAAGTTAGAGAGAGTGAGAGTTAATTTGAAACCGGTAGCTCAGGCTTCTTAGTAATACTATTCAAATTGACTTGGAAGATCACTTGGAGGGGTAGAAATAATTTGATACAGCTGGAGGAGAGTATAGAAGATGGAATTCTAGAGCGTAGCTTTAGAGCTGGATTTTTTGAGACTGAAAACCCAAGAAACTTTGTTTCCTCTGGTGCTAATAACCTGCAATCTGTGTACCTGGAGAGCTAGGAGGTCCATAAGAGCTTTTTCAGAAGGGTTTCTTAATTTTCAGGTTTAGCTATAGAGGATGATTTTCACCATTACGTTGTGTTTACTGTAACAAAAAAAGGCATTCAGATGGCTGAATTTATTTTTGGACTTACCCAATAGTTACTATTTCAGTTATGCAATATAAATAAAGGAGAAATATAATGCAAGCAATTTAAGGAAAGAAATCATGTCTGAAACCATTATAACTTTAAAGAGCTTTAGCTTGAGAATTATCAAGTCTCAGAGAAGCTAACCGCATGTTAGTGATGTCGCATTGTGCCTGCTGATTCTCCCCAAAATAGCCTCTTGTCGGCCATAAAATGTCTTTTAAGGGCATCTGCTGTAGCAGCCTGGCTCACTCATCCTTCTCTTTCCTTTGCTTGCTCAAAAGCCAAAGGCACGTCCCTGACAGCTGAATGCACCACGGTGAGAAACGAACTGGACAGTTTTCACTACAAGCAAAACCTCCATCTGGATTTCTGGACTCCAAGATGCCTTGAGTTTTCCCAACTTCCCGTGGTCCTCAGGTGTGGAAATCTACTGGACTGTCACTTAAACAAGGAATTTCCCTGAAGCCATGTCTGTAGCAGCGAATATACTAGAAATGGACACTGGATGAAGTTCAGCCACATAATTGCTCTTATCAGTGTTAACGGTGGTCTGGACTGTTTGCTACAAATCTGTGAGATTTTACTTACAGGAGTACATCATCTTGCCACTATTTGACATAGATTGGCTGGGCAAACGAATGTTTTCTGGGGGGAAATAAACGTTACTGTGGACTTATTTTTATACTGATGGTGTCTTTTGTAGGTGATAGCTAACCAGACAGACACCCTCAATGGAGAGGACCCCGTGACAAGGGGGGAAAAAATGTGTGAGGCACAATGGAAAGAAGCCCTCAAGAAGGGAATATGGCTTTAGTGTTTTTATAGCAATGTTCCTCTAATGGAATATAAAAATAGCACAATTCAAAAAATAGTCTGTGTTTTGCCCAGCCTTTTGCAAGTAATTTGGGATAAGAAGCTATCAGGAGTTTAAAAAAACCACAAACAAACAAACAAAAAAACCCCACAAACAAAACAAACCCAACAAAAACCAGAAAAACTTGAGGCCGTTGCTCAGAGAACAAGTATAAAAATGTCGTACTTGCATGATACAAAACCTATTTTCTATTCTTTTGAATAAGATTTGATTGCAGAAGAAAAAAAAAGTTAATTTTGTTTTTTAACAATTCCAAAAACATCAAACAGACCAAGGTAAATAACCTCTAAAACTATATGCCCAAAGAACGTATTTATTGACCTATACTGTATACCATAGGCCTTTCTTATTTAAAAGAAATAACAACCGTATTGGTTAAATTATGCTGGATTTGCTTTCCAGCTGGGAAAAAAAGCCCTTTTAAAACTAAGTATTTAAATATTTTCTAAAAACCATAAAAGTCAGTTTCTTTATGCCTTGTTTGTATAACTAAATTGTTAACATGTTATGCTTTCAACCACTCAGTAAGGTTTTTCTCTTTTTTTTTTTTAAATTCTGGAATAAAGGCCAATTTGACAGCAGAGTTCACCACAGAGCGCAGATGTATGCATCATAGTCATCCCACGCCTACCCAGGCTTATGACTAAAGGGGGCTTTACACAGTTTTATATAGTCCAGTCAATTTTTATGAAATATTTTGTCTTGCTTCAAAACACCTCAAAAGTGAGTTCCACTAAAGGGCTTATTGTGTTATGATTTGATTCGTCTGGATGTTTTTGTTAAGTTTTTAAACATCAGGTATAAGTCTCAAAACTGACTAAACTTCTATTAAGGGGGCAAAGCAAAGGAAAACAAATTCCTAACCAAGAAGATATTTTTTTCTGCCTTAAAGGGGCACCAGCTATTGCTGAGAAGAGACAATCTGAGCCTGTCCAATTGCTCACGTAGCCCAGCCTTCTCCCCGCTTCTGGTGGCAAGCAGTACATCAGGGAATCCAAAGCCACTCTGAGTAGCAGTTGCTCAGTTGTTTACCTAACGATGCTTTCAGTTTAACCTGAACTTGCTACGAAATCGTTGTTACGCAGCAAAACAAGAAGCCTCTATGCAGACACTTTAGCTTTGAGTTGATACAAAAGATCACACTGAGAAAGCAACGTGCTAGAGACACTTATTATGCAAACTTCAAAAAAATAAAATAAAATAGACAACTTTTCAGGAACAAAAGGATTCATGTTCAATAGGATGCCCTCTTGAAAGGATTGTTAGGACTGCGATTGGTTTAACGTAGAAGGAAGCAAAGCGATACGCCACAAAGAGAAATCAAAGCGTATTAAATCCTGCACGTTTGGAGTGAAATCCACGCTCTGATGAAGTCCTGGGGGCAGAGCTTCCACTTCAGGATAGCATCAGTCACAAGTGCAATTTGACTCCTGATAGACACAAAGGTAAAGGACACAAAAATTTGGCAAGATTGAACGCTAGCGAGCTTGTGATCGAACTGTCCTCTCTTTTTTTTTTTTTTCTTAAGGTTCTGTTGATCTGAAAGCATAATGGCAAACGCGTGCTCCTTCCATAGCATGCAGACGTGTTAAAAATTGAATTCCTGATCGCTGCTCGTACCGAGCCAGGGTCTGCAGTCACCTGCGCCACGTGGGTTTAAGCCATTGGGAGTAAAGAGTTAGAACATCGTAAATTCTGTCTGCCCTTGAGTGTAGACCTGCGTAAATATTATGTTTTAGATCTTGGTTATAAGCAGAACATTGTTCCTGAAGCTTTTATTGTCACATAGTTCTTACTGTAAATAATTAAGGAAGCTTAAAATTAATTTTCCTTGCAAAATTGAATTTGCAGTGGCTGGGTTGTTTCTAGACAGATTTTGGTATTAATTTAAGAGATACAGTTTTTATAGTCTTTCCAACTTCTCGTTACGACTCCTGCAGTTTTCTTAACCTAAAAAATTGCTGCAATGATGAACAAAGAATTATACAAGAAAAAAAAAACCATACTTTTGTATCTTTATTTTGGAATTTCTTGTTCTATTATAAATATTGAAGTATCCCTATTTCAGAAGACATATTTTGTTAATTGATTGTACATATTTAAATATGTATTTTTGCACAGGTCTTTTTTTCTTATATCCAGTTTTGGTACAATTGAGATCATCTAGTATTTATTTATTAATTAATTAAAAAAAAAAAAAGCAAATACCTTTTTATAATTTGAAGTGGTTCACTGCCAAGCCAATAGTTAACATGCCTACTTTGCAACTTAAGGGATGCCTCCGTTTTGTGAAAGCTGTGTCCCTTTTCACGTCTTGGGAGTGGATACATGCAAACTATTGCCCGGCTCCTGCGGTCGGGTTCTGCCGCCGGAACCCGAGCGCAGGATTGGAGCCGAAGCGGTCGATACGGCATTGCTTATCAGTTGCCTGGTTCCCAGAAGACTACATTTAGTTAAGTGACACACTGCTTCTCTTTTTTTAGTGTTTGTGTGCGTGTGTGTGCGTGCGCATTTGTGTGGGTCTCACGTGGTTTAAAACTAACGGAAAAACTGAAAGTGCCTGATAAAACTAGTTTTAAGCTTGGACTGTTTAGACAGCTTCTCCTTAAAAGACTTGAATGTTCAGTTGAAATTTTGGAGCTTGCTTTTTCCACCTATATATAATATATGTGTGCGTGTATATATGTATGTGTGCATGTATATATATACACATACATATATGTGTATATATTTTTCTGAAATTAATGAGATAGGTTGACAAAAGAAAGCGAATGATGCTGGCAACTTTTGTAAAATCTTCATTAGAATACCTTGTGTTGGAACAATCCCATTGATATCTCATATTTAATATAATGCCAAGGGTTTGAAATATGGTTTTAACCAGCAGTTTATTTAACAGTCTCATTTGGGGAAAGGCGGGGGGCGGCGGTATTAATAAATGAAATAATTTAGAAAATGTTCAAAATAGTTGGTATTCCAGAAAAACAAAACAAGCAAAACCCCCTAAGTACCTCTTAAAACCATTAAAAAAATAAAGACGTAATTTCCAAATGACATTTCTAAGGCCGTTGTCTTCCTGTCAGAGTTCTCTTGCCAAGGAATCTCTCTCTCGTCTTTCACTCATTCTGTCCTGGAGGAGGGAATTGGGCTTAGAAAGATTCTTAAATGTTTCACTGTTCAGCAGAAAATAATCATTTTTACCTTTTGTGCAAGATATTTTACGTTTTAAAGGTAATTTTTAAATGAGCACTACATAATGTCAATGTGAATGTAGGCCTTGAAAGCATCTTGCTCGGTGTTGAGCCTGGTTCTAAAAGCAATCTCCTGTGTAAAATGTGTGAATAGTTTGATAATTTGTATACATAATCAAGAGCATCTGATCAGCTGAACTCTGTGTTGGCTGCTGTATAGTACATGAACAAATGTCATGAGATAGAAAAATTACTTTGGATATTTAAAAGAAAAATAAATATATAGTCTATTTGTTTTGTAACAAGTTTCTGTAAATAAAATAATTTATACTATTTATAAGAAAAAGTTGTGCTTTGCTTCATGAAAAAATTAGTTTGTTGAACAAACATGTTACTAAACAAGGCAATAAAATTAGGACTTTTCAATAAATGAGGTTGGTTGCATGGAATACATATATGTTTCTGCTTCATTATAAAATCTTTCACCATTAAAGGAAAACATTATCTGTACCGGTGCCTATGTGAACTAATTTCAGAGAATTGGATGTGGTCAAATTCTGTCATCGTGGCTCAGCATCGCGTGAGCGGCTACAGAGTCGGCCCGGTAGGAGCGAAGCTTTACATCCTGCAGGGTTTTGGTCCCTGTTTTTGAGAGATGCCCGTATCAACTCCGCAGTATTTTTCCTGTGCGAAGGACGTTTTGTTACTTAAGGTTCAGGCTTTATATTGTTTTCTAAATAGTATAATGAGAAGCAGCCTTTACAACCCCAAACCGCGGTATGTTGAATGATCATGTTTCCTTTTTTTTTTGTTTCCTTTTCTTCTCCATAAAAGTATCTTCTGTGTTTTCACCGTTTAAAGATCCAGTGTGTGAATTCAGCAGGTTAAATACCCCTGCAGGCTTTTCTCTGCATGTGACTCAGGACTCGCGTGTGGTGGACGACTTCTGAGGAGCGGTTTGTAAAACCGGTAAAACTTCTGTTAGTGGGATGGGACTTCATAGTTACATCCAGGGCAATGCTTCCTTTAGTCTCTCTCTCTGGTTTGTGGTTTTGGGGTTTTTTTTTTTTCTTTTTTTTCTTAGTAAGAACAAAGTTTTTTCCTTAATATTTGGAATAAATGCTACAAGATATAAACGGGGTTCGGGCAACAAGGAGCTTCTGCTTTGTCTTTTTATAATGAGTACTTCTCATATTTTCCACGTTTACCTTTTGTGTTGGCTGCAGATTTTTATTTATTTATTTATTGTCTCGCCTTCCTGCGAATATCTTTTCTAGCAGCAGTTTCTAAGGTCTGCGCATCCCACGTAAGCTGTTGTCACTGAAGCCGATTGTGCTGGGCTGTACAAGTGCCGGCACCCGGAGCGTGCCGGCGATGGGCGCTTGCGCCACAGAGCAGAGTGCTCTGCTCGTCATCGCATTCAGGCACGTTCGTGACTCCGAGCTGTCTGCGACTGCTTCGGCGCTGGAGGATGAAATCTGCGTTTAACTGCATTAGGTGCAGGCTTCGGTATCCTCCAAAACCGGTAAGGTGAAGAACGAGGGAAAAAGGTGTGTTTACCCCGTATGACCCTGAGCTCTTCGAGGTATCTCGCAGCTGTGCCAGTTTGGAGCGTCCTCCCTCTCCCTTCGCTGCGTCAGGCGCCACAGCCGGCGCCCTGCAGCGCAGCGCCAGGGAGCCCTGGCCCCGGGGCAGGGAGCAGAGCTGCTGGGTGGGTTCCGCTGCTCCCAGTGACGCCATCGGTTCAGTCAAGGGGTTTGTTATGAAAAA